TTGGGCGACAGCCCCATTATGTGGGTTGTGCGAGGGGGGGGGGGGCAGGGTCTGGTGTAAACTGCATCCAGTCCTCACCCCCACCCAAAGTCCCCGAGGCAGCGGTGACGGCCCTATTATGTGGGCTGTGGGACAATTTTAAGTGGCGTCCAAGTGCTGCGTGTTTCTTTGCCCCAGGGGTGGTTTGCACTGGCGGCCCATACTGCATCGGCCCAGAGAGTGCTGATCGTGAATGCAAACGCCAGTCGAATGGGGAAATGCAGTATTCTAAATTAAAATGGTATGTCAGTTGGAATCAGTGGAATGCGAGGAAGAAGGATATGCTCGCCTTTAAAAGGTCCTGTCGAGATATCGGATCCCCGTACGTTGTTCACTAACGGGTTTACTGCAAGCCATACGCCGTTGGCAAGCCTCGGCTGGTTGATTTCTCGCAGCATTATAACCAGCACACCGATTTTCAATCACAGTAACCGCGTCATCGTCCCTGGCAGATTAAGCGAATTCAAAAGTTCTGTGACAATTAACTACCTCGCCTGGTTCCACAACAGTGTCGACGGACGTGCATGGGAACTGCCCCGCTTTGTACCTTAGACTGAATAGTATGGTTAAGTAGGTAGACTTCCTGGTTCTTGGCCGCTAGAATAGCTCGTTCGCTCAGGCAATCGTGATTCGTATAATTGGTTTGAATATTGGAAAAACCCTTTTCAACCAAGTCTTTTTCTGACGACACTAAATTTCCGAAGGTAGGAGGTAGTGAAATGCGTCCTGAAGTCGGATCAACCGGCACCGATCCGTTCCCAATTGCCGGCAATTCGTGTGAGAATATCTCAGCTGCTCAGTCGTTTTGCAACTGGACACGTATATCCGTAGTTAATTTTAACATCTGGAGGTGGTGCCACAACGTAGAGTATTTCATGCAGGCATTTATTTCGTCGGTTGGTGTCGATCGAGGAACTACAGGCAGTGTTTGCCCGAGTCTCCCGCGAACAGTAGCAATGCGTCTCCAAATGGTCTGCTGTTTCCATGCAAATCTTGCAATGATCGGTCAAGGACCTCCAGCATTTTTGTGTGCCATTGTGCATTCATCCCAAACAAAAAGTTTGCATTTCTTCAATAGTTTTCCCATGCCGGATGTCTGGGAAATGTCGCACGTGGAGTTCCAATGAATTGCACGTTGAACGGCAATTGTAAAGCTGAATGAGCAGTTCTTCCGCCGGGTAGCAAGTTCGCAGCCATTCCGGACGACTGAAGAGCTAAGGCTATGTCAATTGTGGACCGAAGTGCTGCCGGAATCAGTAATGGTAGGAACGTTTTTGCCAGTCGCTTTCGGGCGCATCCAAAAAGATTCCTCCAACCCCGCTATTGGCAGTCCGCATTATTTGATCGTAAATACCATCCTGCTCCAGTGTTAGCTTAGGAATGCTTGAATGCAGATACGACAGAAGATCAACCCTGTGGTAAGTTTGCTCACGCCGCAAATCCACGTCTAACGAAGTAGCAGCAGATCGCCTTAGGTGATGGTTTTCCCATTTAATTGAGAACTTTGATCGTGATTTCTACGTACACATCCTCAATTATTATTAACACCTCGTTGTTGGCGTACCGTCGTTTACAACAGCATCAGACTGCGTGAATGCTGAGCACGGAGTCGTGTTTGACGCTGGTCTGCTGCTCCTCGCTGGCGCCATTCGGCCACTTCCAGCTGGCTGTGTTCATTCTGTTGCTGAACGAAGCAGGCCTGAAGCTGCAGAACGCGGTAGCCGTGACCGCAACCGGGCTTCCGCAAGCCGAGCTGCACAATACTGAGCGGACACCGGGCGACAGCCCCATTATGTGTGTTGAGCCGGGGGGGGGAGGGTCTGGTGTTAATTGCATCCAGTCCTCACCCCCGAGAATCCCCGAGGCGGCGGTGACGGCCCAATTAGGTGGGTAGTGTGGGGCAAGTTCAAGTGGCGTCCAAGTGTTGCGTGATTGTTTGCCGCAGGGTGAGTGGTTTGCTCTGGCGGCCCATATTACATCGGCCCAGAGGGCGTGGAGGGCCTGCTCAAGTGCCTGCAGGGTGGGTGGTGGGGTGAGCGCGGCTGTCGGGCGGAGCACGTGTGTTTGGGCGAATGTCGGTCAAGTGGCCGCAGTCTGGGCGCACATGTGTCCGCGCGCGATGTAGGTCAAGTGGCCGCAGCAGGTGACGTTGTTAGGCCGGAAAAAATCCAGTTTTTTACCCATCACAGGCATACCACCGGCATAATTACACAACCGAACAGACAAAAACCCGGCCCTATGCGCGGGTCGGGTCGTGTCCAAATTTCAGCGCAATCGGTGCAGTACTTTCGGAGATTAGATATAACACAGAAATAAAATCCTTCCATTTTTATATATATATATATAGATAAATGCGCCAGCTCCGAACTCTTCCTGTTCCTTAGTGAACGAAGGGCATATATTTACATTTGGCTGATGTTTCTAGGAATATTCCACTGCCGAATGCACAACATTGTCCCCAAGGCGGTTTTTTCCTCATTAAGCCACGAACAGCATAACAACTTGACGTCTGACGAGACGATAGAAAGTAAAAGTTGTTCATACCCCTCCTAGAAAGAGTTGTTTGGGTTCAACCGAATCCAGTCATACCCTATAATATTTTAAAGTCAAAGTCTCTTCAGTCAAACAGTACCCGACAACGCAGCTATGAAAAACCGAAATGGCAAAGAGGGTACGGGGGATTTTGTTTCAGTCTCGTAACCAGAACTTGCAAGACGAAGAAGCTCAAGGGCAATTGAAAACGACGCACTACTGTAGTAAACACAATGATCCACACGCATGCATGCATGACTCACCCTTGGGCACATTGTCGTAGAGCTCCTTCCGATAGTAATAACCTTCCCGCGGAGGAGTTTTCTCGTGTCCATTGAGACTGAGTACTGGCCCTGTGTAGGCCTCCCGCGACACGGTCTTCAGCGCAGATTCCCGACTCCTGTTGACGGCCTCTGTTCGACCAAAGGTGAAAGCTCCGAACGGTTCTGGAGCGAGCAGGAGACCAGAGCCCGGTTCTGCAGACGACTCTAAAGGTCGACCGTGCTGGACGACAACTTTTCCACGAAGCACTACCACTTCCGGCGCGCAGGTGGAGAGTTCGAGGCCCTCGAAAGGGTCAATGACACCGTCAGGAAGTAGTCTGACCCGATCCCCTTCACTATCACTTTTTCCTGCCACAGAGCTCCATACAACGAGGTCGGCGTCGCTACCCTTTTCAATACGACCTTTGCGGGGATAGAGGTTAAATAGGCGTGCAGGGTTAGAGCTCACGCAGGCCACAAAGGCGCAAGGGTCCAGTACAGCCTGTTGTTCTACGGCGCATTTCCAAAGAACGGCTAAGCGCGAACCCACAGTCGCCACACCACCAGGAATTCGACGAAAGTCTCGCAAACCCAGAGCCGCCCTCACAGCACCGCTCATGGCCCTATGGGCCGAGCCTATGGCCGTCAGGTCGCCAGATGACAGGTGTTTCAGCAGTTTGTGTGCGGTCTCGGCGTCCGGTCGGATGGGTGGGTCTGAGACGCAACTAGCCGCCTTGGCCCAATCGGTCTGACAGACACCAACCGGGGTCTCTGTCGTAGCTGAAATACCGGCCAGTGCAGCCGCACTGGTTTGTCCGAAGAGAAGACAAGCGCTCTGGCGACGCTGGTCGACCAGGGCCTCGAGTGCGGCTTGACTGTGGACGCGGGTCATAAGTACGGGGCAAACGAAGTCAGTAGTACTGGCTAGCAAAGCCACGCGGTTCACCGTGTCCGCTTCCAGGCGTTCTGGTGAGGCCCAGAGGCTACCCTCCGGCCCCAGGCCGGGAAACTCAGAGGCCACTTGCTCGGCAAGTCTGGACGAAATGACAGGATTAGCGCAGGCCGGTACGGAGGGAAGGACACCTAGGGAGGAGCAAGTTCGTAGGGTCTCGAGAAAGGAGTCTTCGTCCAGTCCCGGGAAGTTGGATGTCCGATTTCCTGTGCAGAGGCGGAGGTAGAAGGAGGCCACATGCTTCTCCGTCGCCAAAATCTTCATCTGGGCGGCCACGTCAGCGTTGAAGTTAGGAACGGAGACACAGAGGGCGTAGTCGCAGCAAATCTCCTTGCTGATGGTCGACAAGAAGGTCTCATAGGCGTTCAACAGGGAATCGCCTGGGCATACTGGAACTTCGTTTACTGAAAAGGATAGAAAGAAAAACATTAAAAAGGCTGAAACCTTTTTTTCGTGTCAGAGATGTACGGGGGAGGCAGGTGATAAGGGTAGAACCTCGAAAATAAAAGGGTTCCGAGACATACGGGCGACCAAAAAAGTCTAGGGACAAAAAGTCTACGATTAATCCGAGGTTCGCAAGCAAATTGACATCGGGAGGTGCTTCAGAGAACTAACTAAAGTGTAAACGTACTCGAAGAACGTCTAATTAGTGGACTTTGGTTACATAAATGTTCTCCTACGGAATTGTAGGCTAATTTAGCATATCTGTCTGGTCTTATTTCTCGTGCTTTAAAAGTGAACAACATTGCGGTTGCGTTCGTTTCTGATGACAGGCTCACCTCATGAGTTCGAAATGGAAATTTTTTAACCTTTGTCAGCATTGAACGCTGTGTATAATAACTCGTAAACCAATCGTACATGAGTACCTAGGAAGCGGCACACTAGACAATCATCAAGCACAAGCTGAAGAAAGTATAAGGCCACAAGGACTACGTCAAGGCGTAACAGTATCTACACAGAATTGTAATATTGAAAAGGAACGAAATCGACTAGCCCATCATAAATCCTTCTGCAAGCGAGTGTCACTTCAAAGGGTTCTTGTGGAATTGGTGTCCCATAATTGAAACTGGACTAATGAGACTGGGTGTAAAATGCCAACGGTCTGAAATAGGCTGTATTTTCTACTAGCCATAACATTTTACTGAAGCCGATTACTGAAACAGGGAAATGCTTCACGAACATTTTTGGGAGAGGGCCAGATAATTGAACCGGAAACGGAATGGCAAATGAACTTTCGGTAAGGCTGCCAAGACTCCACCCGTAAAACCCTCTTACCGCCGCTCCCGTATTAGGGGTGGTTATGCACCCAAGTGTTGCGGGAGGGTGCATATTTGCCTTGTTTAATTTACGAGGAAATTAATGCGCGAACTTGGAGTACATCGTTCGAAACGGGCCTTTTCAGGCACGGTCCAAAGTTTGATATGAATATCTGAGCTGAAATCTATCAGCTACTGTGGAATAACCACTTAATATTCACAAGCTGCCAACAGGCAGCCAGTAGTATAGAGCTGCGCAATGATTTACCGTACTAACAACACAGGTATTAGCTAAAAGCCCAGACACGCGTGTTTCGCCGATCTTATGCCGCTGCCTGACGCAGCTGCGAGGGGTTCGGCTCGTCAGTGGGTCCCCCAGCTTTCCCTGTGCGTTTTCTGGTATATGAACTCCAGTTTCAACTTGCCTTGTTTAATTTCCGAGGAAATTAATGCGCGAACATGGAGTACATCTTTCGAAACGGGCCTTTTCAGGCACGGGGGTGCATATATCAATGTCCTACTGCTTCTTTACAAACAGAGAAGTGCATATTTAATTTGGTGAATGGTATGGCGGCCTGGTTATTGAGTACACGGCGAGGACGGTGCATGCGACCCCATGCGACACGGTGGCCTGGAGGTTAATCCCTGAATGGGGTCGCATACTGCATCCTTGCCGAGCACGCCAAGCATATTGTTCGTAGATTCTACCTTCAAACTTCTAAGTTGTCTGAAGCCTACTCAGTCGAAGGGGAAGCGCGCATATGCAAGGTGTCCAGTATGCCGTCCTCTCATAAGACGATTATTGTCTTATGCCGTAAGCCGGTGCTGTTCATACCGATCAAAAAGCGAATAAGTAGTGGTCTAAAGGAACGCGAAACAAGGCCCAATGTAGTAATTAGGCGCGTCATAAAAGTCCTAGTAACGACCAAAATGAAGCCATTGTTTTGACTACAGAGACGACAGAGATTCAAAAAAGTTCAGTGAGGTGTGCGAGGTGAGGTCGCCGGAAGACACAACTGAAGCAATTCCTGACAAACAGGTCAAACGACATAATATAGGGCCCAGTAAACTCACTAATCGTGGTTGTACCGCCATAGAGCGCAGCTAGGGAAGCTGATTTAAAGTCGTCGGCAACAGGTATTTCATCAGAAGGGTTGAGAAGCCGACAGTCACAATCCACGCCGCCTGAATCAAAGAATGAGAAAAGAGTAAATGTATTTGCATCGAAACATACCCGGAAAAATAAATTTTCCTTGGGCGTCTATCACCTGCGCACCCTCTGGAGGGCTAATGTCCTTCTCGAGGTTCCTAGGCAGAGGTCAGAAAAGATATTCGGCTTTACGTGATAATGCCATCTTCAACGAGGATATCTGCTTCGCACATACCATCATGGTTGACAACGGTGCCGTTTTTAATGCACAACTACTCAAAAAAACATTAGGACGCATATAGCAGGAATAGAGGTAACGTACGGGCACGGAAGCCGCCATTCAGCCGACTTGCAGCAAACTGCCTGGAGCTGAGAAAGCGCAGACCAATCAGGCGAACAGCAATCCCTTCCACCAATGAGCACCTGCCTGCCGGCCTGCCTGCTGATTCAGCACAGCCTGTTCTGTTGTACTAGCCGTTTGTTTTTCGCCTCTGCACGTTGGCAGGCCTTGTCCGCGCAAGGCAGCCTCCGGTTTCCTCGTGGCGGGCAGGCAGGCATGACTAAGGGAGGGCAATCGTGATTATGCCTTGTCACTTTTCTATTGGCTGATTGCCACAGCAGGCCATCTGAGTTAACCCGTTTGGCGTAGGCACTCGGAGTGTCGGCCACGCATCGCGTGGGCAGACGAAGACCGGTGATGCAAGCCTCGTTTCCTAATATCGGCCTACGATTACGATAAGCCTTAGCAAAAGCAGCGCTCTAGTAACATAGTAGACGGGTTAGTTGGCAGCCACAAAGGCCAGTGTCCACGAAAGAACGTTTGCATGCTGTACGATCGCGCCAAAAATATTGGTCGTTCCTACCTTAATATCAGACATTTTAGGCCATTTGTTCCAGACTAGTTTAAAGTTTGGATCTCCTCATCCTTGTCCCTCCACGGGCAGTTATTGTGGCAGCAATTACTTTCATCCCGTTTTCGGAATACTTGCTAATCGTTGCCTAGGACGGCTACCTGAAGAGGCTTGTTGAAGTAGAAGGTCATGAAGCTATCGAGCCTTACCTCCGCAGTGACCCCGCAATGTAACACGGACATCCAGTGATGGGAGGGACCAGCGAAGCCAGTGCATGCCTATTTCTGATTTGAAAGGTCGGGCAGGGTGTGCTCGATATGATGAGTTACAGGTAATTGAAGAAGAAGAGGGTTCGAGCACCGGAACACTTTGTTTATTGTCCTGAGCTTTCCAACTCATGCAGGAGTCCATCTTCAGAGATAGTAGCAGCAACAGAACAAGCGAGAGTTATAAGGCGATATGGCATTCTCCGCCATACATCCACGGTGTTTCAAAAGCGACCGAGCGCATTACTGCGTAGCTAGGTGTTGGAATTCCACACCGCCCCAAAGCCACCATCCGCAGTAAGATCATGAAAATTAAAGACCGGTTAAAGCCTGAAGAGCAATTTGGAGTGGTGTATTGCATCCCGTGACAAAACTGCCCTTGTAACTGCACAGGCCAGACTGGACGCATACTCGGATCGTGCATACACGAAAATAAGCTGGCTGTGCGACGGGGCGACGCATTCTCACAAGTGACCGCCCACACCTACGAAATGGACCATGCGTTAAACTACGCAGCCACCAAAATATTCGCCCACGCCGGAAACAAAATAAGCAGAGAATTGATTGAAACCTGGGCCTCGGATGAGAACTCAGTCGGTCGATTTATCGATCTGGCGCCGGCGTACAAAGCCCGGCGTAGTCACCTCCAGTCTTGCGACGTCGGTCGATTATTGAGCCTACGTGCCTTAAAACTGCCACTTGTTCTGTTTCTGCCACTACCTCTGACGATGGACTCCTGCACGAGTCCGAAAGCTCAGAACAATAAACCAAGTGTTCGGGTGTTCTTCTTCTTCTTCTTCTTCTTCTTCTTCTTCTTCTTCTTCTTCTCCTCCTCCTTCTTCTTCTTCTTCTTCTTCTTCTTCACTCATGCATACACCTGGAACTGGAAATTCCGCCTTCATTCGTGAGCTACAGTTAAACTTTTCAACTTCCCTAAAATATGCGCTAACTCGGATTAAATCCTTCGGCGTAGACCACTCCAAGTCCAATTTGTGAGTTGGTGCGAATATTTGAAAAGGTTTGCATCAGAGGGCTGACTCCCAACTTCGGCGTTCATTTCCGAGGGAATTAAAAATCCTAGTGCATATGCCTGCGAGCATACAGGAACGCTGGGGACCCGCTGATGATTGGAACCCCTCGCGGTTGCGTAGTACAGTAGCACAAGATCGGTGAAGCATGCCTGAGCTTTTGGCTAATACTCGAGCTGGACGTATAGTGTATCATTTATCATGCTGAGCTACTATCATTCTCTGCGAATACGACATGGGGTGTAATATCACACCTCTTCCTCTGATATCTGCCAGTGCGGTTGGGGCCACAACTCAGACTGGGCGGGAGGAAGACTACCAAACGTCGGAGGCTTCACACAAATAGTCATCGCCCTATGAGCTGATCTGCTAGCCTGTGGGAAAGTTTTGTTTGCAAATTCTTGGTGCATACGCGTCACTTCCATCGGCCAATGCTAGCGGACAACTAAC